GGCCATTCTAAGCCAAGGCCAGAATGGTGCCCAAGGTCACACAGCTAATGTTTCAGCTAGAGCTGGGACCAGAGCCTGGACCCTGCTGCCAGCCCGGCAAGGCACATTCATCCCCCTTCCCCCCTACAGAGATTCTCCAGCCTCCTGCACTTGCCTGAAAAGTCTCTGCAGAGGGTAGGGGGCTCTGCCCAGGTCCCACTGCCCGGCCCTCCATAACGTTTATTTCAGTCTGATCACGATTCCTGCAGGCCAGTTTTACCAAGGTCCCACCGTGCCTATTGCCTGCTGAGAGAGGACTCCACAGCGTTCCTACCCTCTGATAGCTGTGGTCTCCCTGAGAAGCAGCTGAGGGCCCACGACTGACAAAGCAAGATCAGAATCCAAGGGTTGTCCTTGGAGGGCTGGGTCCTTCAGACCGCAGGTGACCCCAGGGATTGTGGGGAGTCTGGAAAGGCTTTCTGGAGGAGTTGAGAGCTGCACTGGGCTTCGAAGGAGTAGATTGAAGAAAAAGAACATTCTGGACAGGGGGACCAGGAAGGGCAAAGGGAGGAGTTGGGATTTGGTCTCCAGCAGGAAAGAACGTAGCATATTCAGATGACAATGAGAAAGGTAGAAGGTGAAAGGTGGGACCATGGCCCCAAACACCTTTCTGCCCTTAGTCTACGTGGTGACAACCGCAGTCTTCACCCAAACCCGTCCCTTCCTCCGCTCTCTGGGTCTCTGCGGTTTTGGCAGGAGGGTCTGCCATCCCCAGGCAAGGGGGGACCCATATCCCGCCCCCTGGCCACAATGATTGGTGCAGAGATGGGCCAGCTCATAGACTATAGCTGGCGTCAATGTAAAAGTAAATTTGCCTACTTTACCCTCAAAATGAGTTTATTCAGGAATAGCCAAAAGAATTACAATCCTCAATGGGCATGCTAAGGGAACCATAGGCAAATCCAGAAAACAAAAGAGGGAGCTGCTTTTATAGAGAAAAAGGGGGAGAGGGAGGGGCTGTCCTAAAGGAAAGTCCATTGGGGGAGAGTAACAGATCAGGACAGAAACGGCTTCTCATTGGCTGAGCTCAGCGTTTCTGATTGGCTGAGCTGTGGCATTTCTAATTGGCTGAGCTGTGTGTGTTTCTGATTGGCTGCACTGTTGCCAGGTGAGGAGAGAAGTCTTCCTTCAGTGGTAAAGTAGTTTTGCTTCTTGTTGAAGATGCAAGGCAACATCTCTTCCTGTTTGGTATAATTGATGATGTGTGATGGGGCATGAGCACTCCCCCTACAGGCCCTCTTGACTGCAATTTGGTTGAGGTTTCTTTTATTAATTTCCATACTGTAATGTTGGTGATCTCAGCCCCAGGATAAGGCCAGCACAGAAAAAAGCAAAGCTGAGAGAGGGAGGGAGAGCAATTCATTCATTCTTGCATCCTGTAAATACATTATTAGTGTCTACCATAGCTGTTCTATGTCCTGGAGATTCAGCTGTGAGCCAGGCAAATGCAACCCCTGCTCTTGTAGCACTTACATTCCTTGAGTACAGTCAGGCCAAAAGAGAAATAATCAAAAAGGTAATAAATCAACAAGATATTTCCAGATAATTACGAATGCAAAGAAGAACAAAAGGTAGGCTAACGGAGCAGAAAATGACTGGGGTCGGGGGTGGGGGGGGGGTGGAATACTGCCTTAGTTGATGGCCAAGGAGGTCTTTCTGCAGAGGTGACATTTCAGCTGAGATCTGAACGAGGAGGAGTCAGCCATGGGAAGATCTAGAAGTTAGGCCATCCAGGCAGAGGGGACAACAAATGCAAACATCCTGAGGCAGGAATAAATGAGACCCAGACAATATCATTTGAGCATGTGGATCCAACTGTGCCTGAAGCTGAAACATTTCAGTGACATGAACTAATTGTTTTGTTGTTGTTGTTAAACTAGTTTAAATCAGGTTTCTGCAACTTGCATCTGAAAAAGTGCTGTCGTTTGAACGAGTTCTGACACCATGAAAAACATTGAGTGCTAATCTCTGAAGCTGAGATTTTGTCCCATTAGGTAAAAGGAAATCATTGAGGGTTTTTAAACCAGGAAGGAATCTTCCTGATCTCACTCCTTCTTTCTTCTCTAGGCTCATCTCTTTACTGTGCTATCCGTCTTATTCCACTTACACTTATACTTATATACTTATATATACATATATACTTATATGAATTTGGCTGCTATCAGTACCCTGAAGTTCCTGGCCTCCAGCTCTTTGCACACAGTGTTCCTCTTCTAGACACTTTTCCCTACTTTCCTTCTCCCAACGAACTCAGCCTGGCATCAACTTAGATGTCACTTCCTTCACTCTCCCTCCAAGTCTGGATCCATTTCCCAGCATCCCGTACCATGTTTGTTTACATCACAGCCCTTATCACTGCAAACTGTAAATTTCAGGGTGCTCTGTCTACCTCCTAGACCAGGAGGGAGCTCCTGAGGGCTCCTGTCTGGTTCTTGTTTGAAACTCCAGTGTCTGGTACCTAGTAGATACTCAATAAACATGCACTAGCTAAGGGAGTGCCATGGACTGAATGTTTGTGTCCCCCTAAAAGCTGTATGTTGAAGCCTTAACCCCCAATGTCATGGTATTTGGAAGTGGGCTTTTGGGAGATAATTAGGGTTAGATGAGGTCATAAGGATGGGGCCCTCAAGATGGGATTAGTGTCCTTATAAGAAGAGAAAGAGAGACCAGAGCATTCTCTCTCTCTCTGTCTCTCTCTCTGCCATGGGAGGACTCAGCAAGAAAGTGGCTGTCAGAAAGCCAGGAAGCTTGCCTCACCAGAGGCTGAGCCTGCTGGCGTCTTGACTTGGACTTCCTGGCCTCTGTGAGAAATAAATGTTGTTCAAGTGCCCCGGTCCATGGTATTTTGTTATGGCAGCTGGAGCTGACTAAGACAGAGAGGGAGGGAGGAGGGACGGGGAGGAAGGAGGCACCCGGCACACGAAGGGACCAACAGCAATGTTGATGAACGCTTGAACGGGCGCAGGGGTGCTGGAGTGATTAAGCCCTTGGGAGAGGCTCAGTGAAGGCCCTTGTCTCCAAGGCAGCCTACTAAGGGGAGTGGCATTGGCCCCTCAGGCTGCGCTGGAGGGGATCTGGAGGCTGCCAGGTCTGGGCCGTAAGGGCCTTGGTGGTACTGCATCGGAGCCCCGGGCTTTGACTGCCAGAGGGCTGGAGGCCAGGACACTGCTGTCCCATAGCAGGGGATCCCAGGGTGGCTCCCAGGAAGGTCTGCCTTTCCTTCCAGGCTGGGATCCTGGCCTAGGAAGGAAGTCCCCGAGTTGGTTACTCAAGAGGGAAGCTAAGGACCCTAACGTGGGATGACAACCTTAAAACAAGCAGCTGAACTGTATGTGCCCCATATAGCAACTTTGTACTAGAAAACACCCCGAACAACTAAATGCCCCAAAGAGAGAAAGCAGTTGGTGAGGTAAACTACGAAAAAATGTGAAACCATTAAGTACGTCAATAAAAGCTGCAAGAGGATTTAGGAGGCACTCCAATAAAAGAACCTTCAGGGGAATAAGAAGGACCTACTGGCTTACGCTAGCAAAATATGGACGTGAGTGTAAAATGAAGTGAGAATACGGAGAAATGGGGACTTGTCGAGTTAACGGACACTCCTTTTCTTAACGTCCTTGAATTATTTTCTAAGTTTTCTGCATAATGACAAATAGTGCCAGTCGAGTGTTGGCAATGTGCAACATCCAAAGAATATTCCGGATGTTCCCACTAGTCTCGTTCCACCAAGAAGAGCATCCGAGGGCTGGAGGCCATTGTCTCCTGTGTGTGGCCTGTGGTTGGGCCCAGTGCCCCGATGGCACCATGCAGGCCCTGGTGACCTCCAGGCTGGTGCTCCAGGGCTCGACGCAGCGGCAGAGACCTCGCCCAAACTCCCCCTTTTTTCTCACATTGGACCTTGGACTTGCAGTTTAAGTTGGGGCTTCCTGTCGCCAAACTTGTTTTCTTTATGAGGGAAACATAATCTCTCCAGCGCTGGGCTGGAAGAGCATGCAAATCAGCCTAACAGTGCGCTGTTTTGTGAGTTCTCGTCTTATGCAAAACCTCCTGAAATAAATCAGTCATCCTGGAGGCCGGAGGAGGCTGCGGGGCAGAGCAGGAAGGGGAGGGTGGGGCGGCAGGGCTTGGGGCTCCTCGCCAAATGGGATGAAATGTCCGAGACTGGCCGCCCAGCTTTCCCCTTGTGACTGGGGACATCCTGGAGGTCTCCATGGGTCTCCCCATCTCCTCCATGGCCACCAGATGGCGGCACACGCAGGCCCTGGGACTTGAGCGCAGCCCGCACACGGGCCTGGGTGGGCTGGGGGGGTCTCCCTATCTTGAAGCACCTGAGTTCACTACCACCCCTGGGTGCTCCTTCACCCATTCTAGAGTAAAGTGTGGGAAAGTGCGAATTTGGCTTTACTTCTCAAAGGTCATCTCTGCGAGGACAAGAGGGGCCTCTCTAAGAGCGTGTGCAGCAGCTCACAAGCCCAGGGCTGTGCAGCAGAGTGCCCGAGCTCCCACGTGGAGCCCACCCTGGGGATGCTGAGGTTGTGTAGGGAGAGAAGGAAAGAGAGAGGGAGGGAAGGAAAGAAGAGAGGGAGGGAAGGAAAAGAAGGCGAGGGGAGAGGGAAAGAAAGAAAGAAGACAGAAAAAGAAAAAGAAAGAAAAAAGCTAAAGAAAGTTAAGCATCTTCTATACAAAATCAGGTTTATAAGTAAATGTTTTAACTTTAATTTTTTTAAATTTAATAATGTTACCATAACTTTCTTTTCATCCAGATGTTATTCAAAATTTCCGGAGAGAGAGAGTATTGCTCCGGGAGTGGAGAGTTAGAAATGAGAATTCAGAGTCCTGAGTCCTGGAAAGCTTTGATAAGCAAATACAGCCGCACTGCTCTCGCCCTCTCTATTGGCTGGTCCTTCGCCGCCAGATTTTGACACAAATAATCAGATTGAAAATCAGGGAGGGGAACAGAAGAGGAAAAAAAAAACACACACACGCACGCACAGTGAGAGAGAGAGAGAGAAAAAAGGAGAAGTATCTGTTTGTGCAGAGAGTCACGAAGTTGACAGAGTGGAGCCGATCCCCAGAGAGAGGCTCCGAGGTTCCCAGCGCTGGTCCCGGACGGCAGACCTGGGCAAGAGGTGAGTGCTGGAGACCGTGCCTGCCGCTGCTTTTTCAATTTGCATGTCTGACTTAGATTGTTTCAGGCAGGTTACCTAGTCCCTTTTGCAGTCATGGGAAGAATAAGGTGGGCAGGAAAATCTTTCAGAGGGTGTGGATTTTAGCCCTTGAAGCCAGGGGAGAAGAGGTGGTCTGGAGTCAGTCTTATCTGAGATGCTGCGAGCCTGTCTAGGAATTACACCTTCCACCAGCTGTACATAAACACCCGTTCCAAAACTCAGTTTTATGCTGACAGCTATCACCGACGTGCACGATGTCATACCCACACCCCAGCTGTCCCAGGGACCCGGGCAGAGCGTGATGCGACACATGTGGAGGTGCCTGAGTTGGTGTCCCTCCTCGGGCACAAACGGGCCCCGTCCCCCCAGCACTCCGAGCCTTTTTTGTCTGTAAAATAAGAAAGCGGGATTGAGAGAACTCTGAAGGAAGTTCTCGCTCCGGCGTCTGCAGTCCCAGGCGAACTTCACCAACCATCCCGGGACACTGTGAGAGCAAGGCGCCCTCTCATCCTGAGGGCACAGGGGAGGCTGCCATCTCGTACTGCACTCCCTCTGCCTCCAGGAACAAGAGAACTGTAGACGGGAGGTGGTGCCTCAGCTCTGCTTTCCCCGTGATTGTCAGCGCCTTTTCTACCCATTTTTGGAGAAAAAGCCGAGTTAGAGTCTTTGGGGATAGATACTCGCTCTGCCACAGGTCTTATTAAGGAGGCGTCCGTGGAATCGCTGTGGGTATGTGCCTGTGAACGTTTGTCTGGAGAGAAAGTCTATGGCTTTCATGAGATTCTGGAGAGGGGGGCAAATTGACTTGCCGTCTCTGGTCGTGGAAGAGAGCTGAGCCGCACCTGCCCGTGGGGGCTCACAGCTCCTGCGTACTTCTCACTGGGCAGCGGGTAGAATATTTCAGAGTCTTGGTGAAGTGGTGAGTTTCTTGTCCTCCGAGCTGGTGCAGAAGGGAATCTTTGGATAAGGAGATGGGTAAGGTCTCTTCCAACTCAGATTTTGGGGTCAGTATGTTGGTTTCCCTGCAGAAAGTTCTTGGGGAACATCGGAGAGCGATAACTCGCTGAGGTCCGATTGAGGGAATCACTCAAAACCAGTGCGGACCATTTGCTCAAGGCTCTCAGGAGCGTGGGGTGGGGTTGGGGGGCTCCAGTGGAGAGCCCAGGACTCCAGATCGGTCCCCGTGGGGAAGTGGCCTGATCGCGTGATGCTTCATTGTGACACAACCTCCCAACTCTTCTCAGAAACAACAGAAAACCTTACCCCTCCTTAGTCTGGAGGGAGGTTTTTTGTTCATTTGTTCCACGAATTCGAACCAACGGGAGCAACTTTAGTCTCTAACACAGAGATGCCCAGGAAGTGTTTTGTTCACGCATTTTTTTTTTTGAGGTAAAATATATATATAACACGAAATTGACCATTGTAACCATGTTTAAGTGAACAGTACGGTGGCGTTAAGTACACTCACGTTGTTGTGCTACCGTCACCACCATCCATTTACAGAACTTTTTCCATCTTGCAAAATGGAATCTGTCTCCATTAAACACTAACTCCCCATTCCACCTTCCCCCAGCCCCTGGCACCCACCGTTCTATTTTCTGTCTCTTTGAATTTGACGACTCTAGGTGCTTCACACAAGTGGAATCATATAGTCTTTGTCCTTTTGTGTCTGGCTTATTTCCCGTGACATAATGTCCTCAAGGTTCACCCATGTCGTAGCAAGTGTCAGAGTTTCCTTCCTTTTGGAGACTGAAATATTCCATTGTGTGGATAGACCACGTGTTGTCCATCCATCCATCCGCTAATGGACACTCAGGTTACTTTCACCTTTTGGTTGTTGTGAATAACACTGCTGTGAACTTGGGTGTGCAAATATCTGTTCCAGTCCCAGCTTTCGATTCTTTTGAGCGTACAACCAGAAATGGATTTTCCCACTTTTGATGTCGAATTCTCTGAACTTAGGAGGAGAAATTTGAGAACCCATTCCAATAATCATAGTGACCATTCTCTGCTGGGGCCCCTGAAATGACCTGGGCTCACTTCCTCTGGATCCTGCATGGAAAGGGGTTTTTTTTTGTTTGTTTGTTTGTGTTCCCCATGAGTCATGTCTTTAAATATAAAGGAAGTCCAAAGGGACCTCTGTAGCTGATTATGAGAAACAACAGAGTCTTACCCAACCTCGCAAAAGGGAACCCGAGAGATGAGTTTCTTAGTCAAGGTGGGCCACTCTGGCACTGAAGATCAGCCAACTGTGCTTGGGATTTTAGAGCAAAAGGGAAGTTTAGAAATCTCTTAGTCCAACCGTCCCTTCTGAGAGAGAGGAAAACCAAGCCCCAGGTTGGCGGCTGACATGTGGTCAAGCTCAAGGTCACAAAATGAGACTCAGCCCCATGGGAGGCCCGAGGTGACTCGTTGCGTGAAAATCACAGGCCTGCTGCTCTGACCCCACTGGAAGTCGGGGTGCAGGGCCACCCCCATCAGAAGCTTCAGCCGAGATTCTGACTCAGGGTCAGGGGACCCTCTATCAAGATTGGGGGTTTTTGAAGAGATGTTAACGATGAGTCTCTTTCCGGAGGCCCGATAGCATCAAGGCCTCTGTTTTATGAAGAAATCTTAGGCTTCTTTCACAATCTCTGCGCTGAGCTCTTTCTCAGAACGGGTTCGTGTGAATCAAAACGGTGTGGTTGTTAATTAACTACAGTATAGGTGATTGGTTCCTGTTTTTTTTTTTTTTTTTTTTTTTTAAGCTCAGCTAACAGGGGCCAAAAGGAAGTTCTCCTGGTGTGCTCGGTCCCCACGGTGAGCTTGAAGGCTCGGCCATGGGGCTGGCTGTGCCACTGTCACTTTGCCAGGCTTAGCAGAGAGGACGTTCTGGGGAGGGAAGGGGGACGAGATTGGGGTCTTTGGGGGGGATCACTAGAGTAGGCCCTGAGAGTCACCTTCCTCCAGCTGGGGAGCCCCGGAAGCTGGGTGCCCTTCTCCCCGTGAGTGCTCATGAACCCCAGAGAGGGTCATTGCTGTGTTGTCACCTGGGGTCGAATCAGTGGGCCTCTAGGGTGTTCTCAGGTTCTGAGCCCCACGGAAGACCAAAGCCTCCTAAGGGAGGCCTGTCCCCTCACTGGCCTGTCCCCCGGACACTCTTCAGGAACCCGTGTGGGGCTTTCTGGGGCCTGGAAAAGACGTGAGGATCAGGGAAGTTTAACTTTTCCGCCATCTTGTCCTGCCAACCACCTTCCCCTCCCTGCTTGGGCAGGCTGTCTCCATCAAGCGCTGAAAAGGACCACAGATGCCGATGGGCAGAGCCCTAGGCCAGGAGTCAAGTCCTAGCAGGACAGAAGCCCTGGGCCCGGCTCTGCTGCTGGCCCCTGAACAAGCCACTTTCCTCTCTCAGCCTCGGTTTCCCCCTGTGACTCGGGAAGACAATCACTGCTTCCCTTGCCCCAGTGGATGCCAGATTCGGTGACATAATGCACAGTGGGAGCTTTGAGCGCTGTCTCGTCTTCCTCCTTAGTGTGTCAGCTCAGTTGCCTCCACACTGAATAAGTACCCACTCCCTGGTCTGATGGTCAAGAGCGTAGAGGCCTGAGGGCGGGCAGCAGAGTCCTGCTCTGCCTCACTCTGCCCTGGGATCCTGAGCCAGCCTCTAAGCCTTGGTTCCTTCTCTATAACGTGGGGTAATAGTGACTCAGCTCACAGGTCAGGACTGAGGGAGCGAAGGCCGTGCAGGCCCTGGCAGCAGGAAGAGTTTCCTGGTGCTCTGGCACAGCAGCTTTAATGCCTACCTTTGGTTCTAGTTGATTTCCTAATAAAATACTATGTAAAAAGAAAATCACCTTTTGATAGAGAGACAGACGATGGTCCTTGGAGGCCCCCCCCAGACAAAAGGCAAAGGAAACCTAGTCTTCTGGCCCTCCCTCAGTGCATGGGGGTCTCCTCCCACTCTCCCCAGGGGGCTTCCTAAAGCCAGGAGTTAGAAGGGGAAAGGATGGGGGCTGTGGGGAGCCCTGGCAGGGGAGGGGGAGGAGGCAGGAGGAAGAAGACTGTCCCTGGGAGATAAGGCCACCCTGGGCTGCCCGACAGGCCTGGGGGGACGGCGGGCCAGGCAAGCCTTGTGAGGTCAAAATCTGACAGCTGGATGGGACTCCAGAGGCCTTCAAGTCCCAGCCCCTCACTTTAGAGCCCAGAGGGGAAGGGCCTGGAGCAGGTCCCAGCTCCTGGTCCAGGGCTGGCCCCCATCCTTGGAGCCTGCTATGGGCCGAGCGCTGGGGATGCAACTAGACGGGATGGGATGGGAGAAGTGCCCATGCTCCCGAAGCTCCTGCTCCTGTGGGCTGAGACCCGCCCTCAGGCTCAGTGCTGCCACAGCCCAGGCACGTCGCTGAGCACTTTACACACTTGTTCGTAATAAATAGAGGACCCTTCTTCCCCAGCATCCCAGGAGGTTGGGTTGTCACCCTATTTAGCAGATCTGGACACTGAGGCCTACAGCAAGGGGGGCAGCACCTGGGATGGCCCCTGGGCCAAGCAGGCCTCAACACCTGATGCCTCCACGGGGCTCTGGGTGAGAGGCAAGCAAGTCTGGGCACAATTGGGGGGTCCCTCTTCTGCCCGGCTCTGGGTCATCTTCTTGGGGAAGGGGTGACCCCCTGGGCCTGCTCCGAAGGCAGAGCTCCAAGCTGCCCTCTCTAATCTTCCTCCTCCCAGCCTGCTCCTCAACCACAGCCTTATCAGCCAGGCCCTGGCTGTTGTTCAGAGCAGCCCTAATCCCTTTCCCGCGCTAGGCCCTATCGCCTGCCCCTGCAGCCCTGCATGGGGCTGGCCCAGGGAGGGCGATGGGAGGGACTCCTCCTCCACGGCCTGGGGAATGGGGCCAGCAGAGGAGCCCCCAGGACCTGGCTGAGTATTTCCTCTAAAATTCTGCCCGGGTGCAGCTTGAGGGTGGGGAGAAGAGAGGACCACTGGAAGATGCTCCGGGTCTCCCAGGAGCCCTCAGGAGAGCCTCGCAGTCTAGGCACAGGGATGTGAGACGTTTGGGGGGCAGGAGACACCCTCTGTCCCAGAGGGCTCTGCACAGAAGGCCAGGAGTCCTGGGTGGTCACGCTGGTCTGGCTCTGCCACTCCCCAACCCCGACGTGGGATCAAGGGCCAGTCCCCCCGATCCCCTGACCAGTGGGTTCAGTGACTGGGCTGGGCTGGGCTGGCCACTCTCAGCTCCTGGAGTTGGTGAACATTCTCCTCTTCCTCCGAATCTACAGAGACCTCAGGCCTCCGGGTGGGGTGGAGCGGGGGCTCCTCTGGGGCCTCAGACCCTGTACACAACTCCAATGCCCCCATCCACCCCCACTGAGAGTGAAGGCCCCTCTCTTTCTAGGGACCAGAATCTGGGCCGGGGCTGTGGATGAGGAGGCGTGGCCCTGCTCTGACTGCAGGGATCCCAGCTGGCATGATAACATGGATTTGCAATTGAGGTGGCCCCCTGGCTGCAGCCCGCCGCCAGGCCCCCTGTGACAGGCACTGAGCACATACAATGCGCTCACCAGCACTACGCCCCTGGATGCCCCACCTTACAGAAAAGGGAATAGGCCCAGAGAGGTTAAGTTCTGCCTCAGACTGCACAGCAGGTGAGCAGGGATTCTAACCCATGCTCCTCTGACTCCAAAACCTGAGCCTCTGAAGGCAGATCCCAGTGGGGTGCAAATGGAACATTCTGGATGTGGGGTCTACAGTATGTCACAGTTGCAGACCCCCCTGCCCTTCCTTCTCTGCTCCCTGCTCCCAGTGCAACTGAGGGCATGCAAGTGGGAGCAGCCTGGCCCCGGGGTTTTCTAGAATTCGGGTGTGCTGGTTTCCTAGCAAGAGAGTAGTGAGTGGGGTCAGGATTTGTAGCTGCCATAACAAAGAACCGGAAAGTGGGTGATCAACAGAAACAGAAGTGTGTTGTCTCAGGGTTCTAGAGTCTAGAAATCCGAAATCAAGGTGTCAGCACAGTCAATTCCTTGTGGAGTTTCCATGGGGGGTCTTTTTCAGCCTCTCTCCAAACTGCTGGTGGCAGCCAGAAGTCTCTAGCATTCCTTGGCTTGTAGCTGCGTCACTCCAGTCTCTGCCTCCCTCTCCATGTGGCCTTCTCCCTTGTGTCTGTGTCCATGTCCAAACTTTCCTCTTCTTGTAAGGACACAGTCATACCAGATTAGGGTCCACCCTAACCCAGTGCGACCTCATCTTAACTTGATCACATCTGCAAAGCCCCTATTTCTAAATACGGTCATATTCACAGGTGCCAGGTGGACATGAACTTTTGGAGGATACTGTTCAATCCAGGACAGGAGGTGTCGGATTTCAGGAGGACGCTCTAAATACGGAGTCTTGTCCTCTTGTCCCTCCTAACTGTTCTCACCCTCTCCCCCTGTAGGGGTGGGACTCACACCGAAGATGCCACGCTCCTTCCTTGTGAAGAGCAAGAAGGCTCACACTTACCACCAGCCCCGTGTGCAGGAGGATGAACCGGTCTGGCCTCCTGCCCTTAGCCCCGGTGAGTGAGAGCTCAGGCTGGCCTCCTGCTGCACGCACCCAGGGCTCCCTGCCCCACGTGGTGGGGACGCAGCGGCATCCCACCCAAAGTGCCCCCTCTGGAAGCGAGAGGAGCTCAGTAAATGCTGATTGAATGATTGAATGAATAAATGGATGAACGAATGCACCCATCTCTTCTGACTCCTTGGAGTGATGAGAGCATCAGGATTGGAGGTGGTCCTCAGTAGCTGACGTGGGGGTCCTAATCAGAGGTCTGATCTAGGGCTGAGGTTGGGGTGCTCAGGAAAACCAAGACTGGTCCAAGAGTTCTCCTTGGGGATCTCCTCCTGGCCGCTACCCTGGGGCAGAGCCCCTGAGCATGAGCAGCCAGAGACAGCAGCACGTGGATCTCTCTCTGGGTCCCCTCCTCCAGGGAAGGAGTCTACCCCGGCTCCCTGCTGACTTCCCAGAGCTGTAGCTGGTGGCTCTGACCATCTTGTCTCCCCACAGTTGTCAGGGACCAGGTCCTGAGCAACGACCCTGTCCTCAGCACCCTGTTCCCAAACCAGTGCCTGGACTGGACTGATCTCAAACGGGAGCCGGGGCTGGAGCTGGACCCGAGCTTGGCCAGGATGTCATCAGCACCAGGTACCCTGCTATTCCCCAGCGAGTGCGCGGTGAGTGGAGGGTGGATGGGCTCCTGGAAGCAGGGACCTTGGAGTCAGGAAGGACCGACAAGGTCCCCTGGATGCACTCTGAGCTCTTGGGCTTCTGCTTGGACCCCTCCTGGACCGGGAGCTCATTCCCAGAGGAGGGCTTCCATGTGGTGGGTCGGAGGGGGCAGCTGGGCAGGCCGATGCAGCGAGGCGGTGCTCAGCGGGGGAGTGGGGTGCGATTCTGGGCTGGAAATCTGAGGGGCCACGGTGAGGACGCAGGCCTTCCCTCACGGTAAATATTTGGGGCTTACCCACTGACACCCTCAGCATGAGGTCACTCAGAGGGTGGCGGGGAGTGGCTGACCTATTTTTAAATGTCACCGCCATGTATGTGTCCTACTCTCCACAGAGGGCTCCGTTGTGATGTCCCGACCCCAGGATGGGGACTTGCCACCCTCTGACTCACCCCCGTTCTATAAGCCCAGCTTCTCCTGGGATGCCCTGGCCTCGTCCTACAGCCACAGCTACCGGCAGGCCCCCTCCACCATGCAGTCGGCCTTCCTGGAACGCTCCGTCAGCCTGTACGGCAGCCCCCTGGTGCCCAGCACCGAGCCGCCCCTGGACTTCAGCCTCCGCTACTCGCCGGGCATGGACGCGTACCACTGCCTCAAATGCAACAAGGTGAGCAGCCAGGGTACGGGAGGGATCTCGGGCCCTGCTCTCATCCTTCTCCTGCACCCTGGCAGCTGTGGGTGCTCACAGCTGGGTGTTCCCTGTGCTGTGAATCTCAGGTCCCCTGGTGGGATCAAGGATTCACTCCGTTCGTCCTCATCACTATTTATCAAGCCCTGACTGTGTGCCCAGCCCTGTGCTAAGCACTTAACATGCATGAGCCCTGGGAGGTAGATAAAGGGCTAAGATTCGGAGAGGTTGAGCCATTTGCCCAAGAACACACAGCAAGTAGATATCAGAACCAGCATTCAAACCTGGCTCTGGCCAACTCCCGGTTCTTAACCACTAGGCTATTCAGCCTCTAGATAGGGCTAGGAGGGACCTTCCAGACCCCTCTCCCAGCCTCTATTTTACAGACGGGAAACCTAGCCACAGAAAGGGAAAGAGACCTTCCTAGGACACACAGCACACGCCAGCAGAATCGGCAATCCAGGGCTCCTTCCCTTGAACACCTCCCCGTGGCTGGAGCTGGGGGTGGGGTTGGCCAGCAGACCGCAGGCCCATCTCCCTCTCTGCGGCCCCACTGGCCTCATGCTCTGTCCCTGCCCCCAGGTATTCTCCACCCCACATGGCCTCGAGGTGCATGTCCGCCGCTCCCACAGCGGGACCCGGCCCTTCGCCTGTGACGTCTGTGGCAAAACATTTGGTCACGCCGTGAGCCTGGAGCAGCACACGCATGTTCACTCCCAGGTGGGCAGCTGGCCCAGCCTGGGGCCCCCAGTTCCCACTCTTGCTCTCTGCTTCTCCCAGGAAAGCCTAGGGGCTATGGCTGGGTCTCTCGCTGTCTCTGACACAGGGTGACACAGAGCCGGGGTCCTTCCCTATCTGCCTCCTCCGTCCGGGTCCCCAACACCCGCCTGTAATCCGGTTCAGTCCCTGATGGACCATGAACAGTTGGAAGAGGCTCTTGGCCCATCTGGGATTTGGGGGGCAGCGAGATGCTCACAAATCATCCAACCCCCTGAGTGCCCAGGGCAGGGGTCCTCACCTTTGCAGCCCTAGACTCTTAGAATCCTGGAGTCAGCCTTAAGGGTTCCTCTCGTCCCACCTAGTACCCTGGAATTAGTGTCCATCCCAGGGAGACACTGGAGCTGCCCTGAGCCGCTCACACCTGAGTAAACGGGAACGACCTGGTGGGAGACGCATGATCATGAGCACATCCACGTGCAGCTGCTGGCTCAGTTCTCAGCCTCCAATCCTGCCGACGACCCTTTGAGGTCATTACTATTACTGTTCCAAGGTACAGATGAGGAAACTGAGTCTTAGGGAGGCTAAATGACTCCCCTAAGGTCATGTGGCTAGTAAGAGGCAGAAGCCAGAATGGGCCCTGATAATTCAGACACTTAGCTAAACCACTGCACAGCCCGTGACCATCCCTGCCTCAAGGAACTCACTCTGGGTTAAGGGAAATGAAATGCGAATCCCCCAAAAAGCTCCCAGCTCAGTCGGTCCATTGGGCAGTCAACAAACATGTCTTGAGGCTTATTTTGAGGGGAATACTTTGAAGGTTACAAGGAAAAGTCCCACAGGAGGCCACTCAGGCACAAAGCCTCAGCTCCTCCTGGGACGCAGGAATGGGGTGCCTGGGTCCTGCTCCTCCAGGCCCCGTCCTCGAGGCCACCCCAACGGAGTGTCCTGTTCCTCAGGGGATCCCGGCCGGGTCCAGTCCTGCGCCCAGCTTGGCAGTCCCGGGTCGCGAGGCCCCGCCCGAGCCTGATCCCCCGGGGCCGCGTTTCCTCCGGCAGGAGCGCAGCTTCGAGTGCCGGATGTGCGGCAAGGCCTTCAAGCGCTCGTCCACGCTGTCCACCCACCTGCTCATCCACTCGGACACGCGGCCCTACCCCTGCCAGTTCTGCGGCAAGCGCTTCCACCAGAAGTCGGACATGAAGAAGCACACCTACATCCACACGGGTGAGGCACAGCCTCCGGCAGCCCTGGGCTTCAGGATGGCGCAGGGTCAAGCTACCAGGGGCGGGAGGGCGTGCTCCCCTCCAACAGGAGGCCTGGACACACTGTGTTACTTGAGTTCACTTGATGCATAGAAAAAATATTGGAAGGAAGGAGCAAAAGTCAACACTGATGATTTCTGGATTCATCCATTCATCCCTCCACTCATCACTTCTTCCTCTACTCATCCATTCATTCATTCTTCCAGCCCTCCACTCATCCATTCATCCCTCCACTCATCCATTCATCCCTCCATTCATTCATCCCCCTGTTCATTCATTCATTCATTCCTGAGCTGTTAGCTGAGTGCCTCTTTTGCTCCTGGCCCTGTGCCAGATGCTGGGCTATATGGATAAACAGGACAGACCTGTCCCTGCCCTAACCCGGGTACAACGCAGTGGGTGGAGGGGGCCAGAGTCGTATTTTTGCATGTCCCCCTTTTCTAATTACCTTCTAAAATGCATGGGGGCTGTCCGTGAGATAGAACATAATGAAGCTTGGAGAACAAATGCGGGGCAATGGGGCAGCAGGCCCGGTGCAGATGACCCTGACCCGGCCTTGCTGTCCCGCAGGTGAGAAGCCACACAAGTGCCAGGTGTGCGGGAAGGCCTTCAGCCAGAGCTCCAACCTCATCACCCACAGCCGGAAGCACACGGGCTTCAAGCCCTTCAGCTGCGAGCTGTGCGCCAAGGGTTTCCAGCGCAAGGTGGACCTGCGGCGGCACCGCGAGAGCCAGCACAACCTCAAGTGAGGCTGCGCCTGCACCCTCCCGGCTTCTGGCTAGCTTCCCCAGAGATCCCATCCCCTGGAGGGAGGCCAGCCTCATGCACCCAGATCCCCAGTCTCCTGGAGGCAGCACTGGACAAGAGTCTTCAAGATTGTTTTGAGACTCACGAAATTGCTGTGTGAACTTGGGCAAATTGCTTTCACTCTCTGAACCAACATTTCTCCTGCTGCAAAGTATGGGAGCTGGGATGGATTTTTTTCTGTGCTGAAGTTGTCTACAGGTGTAAAAACTCAGGTGCCTTTCCCAGGGCAGAGCCTAGAAGGCCTGAGTGGCCCCAGGTGGACAGGAACGTCAAGAATAGACCAGAGCTGGGACCCACGGAAATCCTCCCGTGCCTGCTGCCCACTGTGCTGGGATCTGGTCGCCTTGGTTTTCGTGGGCCTCTTTCAGGCTGCCGTGAACAGCCAGAGTGGCCTCCTGCCCCGGCAAGAAGCTGAGTACCCCTCTGCTTCAGCTGGACGTGTGACGGCCGCTCGCTTTGGACTGGCACTCAGCAGGCCCTGGGCATCCCGTTCAGCTGTCAGACCATGGGCTGGAGAAACCAGCAGTTACTGCTGTCAAAAGCCTGTTCCCCTCCACTGCTGTAAATAAAAATAAAGACACAGGTTTACTTACATTGGGCCAGCATTTATGAGGTGCCTGCCGGGTGCGAGCTGGTGCACGGGGCTGGGGAGGGAGGCGGGGACCTTTGGAAAGCACAGGAAGCCAAGGAGTTGCTCACAGACAAGTTGGGAGATGTGCGCCCAGACCAGACTGGTAAGTGCTGGAAGAGAAGCATAAGAGACACATGCAAACCGAGACCCTTGGGAAGGGCAGGTCAGCGCAGTCGGGGGCTGCGTCAGTGTCCTGTGGCTGCCATAACACACTGCCACGAAATTGGCGGCTTCAAACAACACGAATTTATTCTCTTACAGTTCTGGAGGTCAGAGACCCCAAATGAGTCTACTGGGGCCAGACTCCCGGTGTCCGCAGGGCTGCGTTCCTCCTGAAGCCTCCCGGGGAGATCTGTTTCCCTGTCTTTTTCAGCTTCTGGAGGCCGCCGCATTCCGCAGCTTGTGGCCACTTCCTCCATCCTCCAAGCGCATCCCTCTGACCGCTGCTTCCATCATCCCTCCTCCTTTTGCTTTTGACCTTGCCTCCTTCGCGAAAGGATCCTGTGATCGCATCGGGCCCACCTGGCTAACCTGGAGTAGCCCTCCTATCTCAAGGTCCTAATGTAATCCCTAGGGTAGCTAAGTAATGGCTTGCAAAGGTGGCATCCTCGTCCCAGTCCCTGGAGCCTGTGGGACTTTGCCGATGTGATCCCGTTAAGCCTGGTGCCGCCTCTCACAGCTGTGTGACTTCAGGCTGGGCTCCCCACTCTGTAGAGTGTGAAGGTGACAGGCCCTTCCCGAGGGTTGTGGGAAGGATTCCCCATGACAACGTGTGTACAGCAGCACTCAGGGCCCAGCACGTGGTAGGCGCTGCCAACCTGTGAACCTCTCCTTTAAAGTCCTGCCCACACTACAAAGCCCGCTCAAATGCCACCTCCTCCCTGAAGCTGTCCTTGGTCATTCCAGCCAGAAGTTCTTCTCCCACCTCTGAACACTGAGCTCCTTGGGCTCCTCGCTTCCGGCTCAGGACCCACTGTGCCTGGACTGACAGTTCTCTGTGAGCAGCTCTCCCCTCTGCTAGAAGGTACTCTCTCTGGGCCCTACCCCTCAGCAGCAAGCCCATGCCTGGCCCACAGCAATGGACACTTCTCAATGAGTCACTTCCAGGTACTGAGCTGGATCCAGGGTTTCTACTCATCGTCTCTAACCTGCACAACCCTCTGCAAAGGAGGTGTCATTATCCCATTTTTACAGACGGGGCAAGTGAGGCTCAGAGAGGTTGGCCAACTTGCCCAAAGTCACACAGTGGGCAAGTGCAGAGCTGGGATCTGATTCCAAGTCTTTGAGTCTCCATTTTCCTTCCTCCCAATGACACCTGCAGGTGTTTCCTTTAGTCCTGTCCTCAGCTGTGAATCTGTGGGGTTCTGCGGCCCCTGGGGAATGGTACGTCCCTTGACTCCCAGGCTCTGGGTTTGTCTGGGCAGGAGTTGGGTGGCAAACTTCATTCCAGAGACCCTTCCTGTTTACTTTAGCCAGAATTCCCCTAAACAGATCTGTCAGGTGCGCGGGGGGTGGGTGCGGGTTCCAGATTTGCATGGGAGGCTGGTCTGGGCTCCACAGCAGCGCCCAGTTCGAGCGACGCAGGCCTGGCTCCTGCAGTCAGAGGAGGGCGGCCTCTAGCAGCCGGGCCATCAGAGCCAACGGAGCTTGGAGACTGAGGCTCCCTGCCCTCCTCCCGTCCATCTGCAGAGAAAGTGAAGCCCAGAGAGGGCAAGGTTCTGGCCCAAAGCAGCAGGCCAGGCCTGGAACAGGCTCCTGACCCCCCGGGGTGAGGGACCTGCCCTGCACCTCCTATGTCAGGGAAAGTGTGAGCCTGGGTGCTAGGGACACACGCACACACACACACATGCGCACACACAAGCACAGAGGCTGGTTTGCATGCTCCTTGTTTGCTAAACAAAACCACACCAATATGGGGATTTCAGCCTCTTCTGCAGCAGGGCTGGGTGAGGAAGGGAAGCTGAGCCACAGGGGAGCCAGACAATTCGTCTTTCTTTGTCGCTGAGGTTCAGGGAGGGGGGATGTAGATCGTGGGCCCCTCCACTGAGTGCCCACAATGGTGAGGGGGGGACACTGCAGCCTCAGAGCAGTGGGGGCTGGAACCCCATGTGCATATCAAACAGAGTGTGGGCAGGTATGGGGGCCTTGAAACCTGCTTCCTGGGAGGTGTCAGCACCACATGGAGGGGCCTGGTGGGGGCTCCCCCAGCCCCAGAAGGCAGTCATTGGGATTGGGGGCTGCTCAGAGTGCTCCCTGCTCCGGTGCCCTGAACCAGAGAGCAATGCCCCTGCCCTTCCCCATCTCCACCCCTCCCACTGCTGCGGGAACCCCAGGGCCATCACAGGAAGGATGGGGAGGATGGGAAGGATGGGGGAGGAGGGGGATGGTGGGGGAGGAGGGGGATGGAGGGGGAAGGAGGGGGAAGGAGGGGGAGGCTGGGGGAGGATGAGGGAGGATGGGGAAGGGTGGGGAGGATGGGGGAGGATGGGAGGATGGGGGAAGGAGGAGGAGGCTGGGGAGGATGGGGAGGATGGGGAAGGAGGGGGAGGATGGGGGAGGAGGGGGGGGGGGGGGGGATGGGGAGGATGGGGAGGATGGGGAGGATGGGGAAGGAGGGGGAATGGGGAGGATGGGGAAGGAGGGGAGGATGGGGAGGATGGGAGGATGGGGAAGGAGGGGAGGATGGGGGAGGATGGGGAAGGAGGGGAGGATGGGGAGGATGGGAGGATAGGGAAGGAGGGGAGGATGGGGAGGATGGGGAGGATGGGGAGGATGGGGAAGGAGGGAGGATGGGGGAGGATGGGGAAGGAGGGGAGGATGGGAGAGGATGGGGAGGAGGGGGAAGGAGGAGGAGGCTGGGGGAGGCTGGGGGAGGCTGGGGAGGATGGGGATGGTGGGGGAGGATGGGGGAGGATGGGGGAGGCTGGGGGAGGATGGGTGAGGATGGGGAGGATGGGTTTCACGGGCAGAGCTGCGGCCAAGAGGAGGCTTGCAGATTGGTGCCAGACAACACAACAGCAGCAATTTTCACTCCAGTGGGTGCAGAGCTCCCCACCGAAGTTCTATCTCCTTCAGGATGCGGGGCTGTGCTCATCATACTGGGACTGGAGGGGCCCAACTCAGTGGGTGCAGTGGGGCGCCACCCAGCTGCCTGTCCATGATTGGAGGGGCGCTGAATCCCCCCGTCCACTTCCACGTCCCACCATCTGAGTCACAGCGTGTGAACTGGTGGGCACTGTCCAGCACCCCCTGTGAAGACAAGGACACAGCTTCTCTTTGCTACACAAGGGAACAGGCCCAGGGAGGGGACGGTGGCCCTGGTCATACCGACTCTTAGCAGCAATGCCACACAGAATCCAGGTTTTCCAACCCTGAGTCTAGTGGTTTTTCTGCTAGGGCCATGGGGTTGATTGCCCCACTCCAGGGGACTCTGTTTACGTAGGAGATGGTGCAGGTGGTGGCCTCTGAAGTTGTGTGGGGAGATGCGGGGACAGACGCTTCTCAGCCTGCAGTGCTGCCCCGGCTGCTGAGGGTTGGATGGGTGTGTATGGGAGCACGTGGGATTGCAGGGTGGCACCGGTATCTCCACCTGGAGTATCAATTTACTCAATCATAGCTAACAAAACCAATATTTTAATATTAAAACAAACTGGCCACATTAGGGAGCAGAATGCAAAACCTGAATTAATTTTCAGATAAAATTCCCATCAGTGGTGGCAGCTTCAGGCTACATCCCCAGCCCCTGTGCTGTGTCTTGCCCCAGACGTGGGAGCAGCCCTGCCCCAGAGCAGGCCACACCCCAGCAGGGCAGCCAGGCCCTGCCAGCCCTGGGACCAGGACCCCCTGAGGGACAAACCGGGAGATGCCCAGCGGACCCCTCCATGGAAGTCACTGCCGAGGATGGAAATATGTCTCCCAGGGCCAGCCCAGGCATTTGTGTGTGTGTGGCTGACTTGGCCCCAGCCTGTCCCCATCTGCCACTGCCCAGAATGGAGTGCACTGGCCTGGAAGGAATGGATGGACCGAGGCGAGGAGGCAGGGCATGGGCGCTGGGGCAGTGGGGGAAGCGGAAGGATGTAGGGATCTGGATTATCTAGAAGAATAGCACCTATTCTGAAAGTTCCCCAGAGACCAAACACACTCCCTGCCCATCACCTAAAGAATCAACTCCCGGGCTCTGGCCGTGACCTAACCTTCACCGCCCTAGACGGGCTCTCGCTCAGTGTGGGCGCAGGCTACTCCAGAGGGAAGGAGCAGAACAGATAAAGGGGTAGAGCAAGGGATAGAAGAGAGGTGACCAGAGAATGGCAAGGAAACTGTGCCGGCTAAAAGTGTAGGATGTGGGAATGGCCACACGTAATGGGGCAGAGTGTGGCACGGGCCGGGGGTGGCAGGAGAGACCCAAGACCCAGAAGAGTCTTCCAGAGGCACCAGAACCATTGACAACTTTGGAGACCAGGGGAGGAGCCAGAGAGACAAGGGAGCTGAGCTTTCGAGAGCCGATTTATGGTGGGCACACAGAGTGGCCTGAGGAGCGCAGTGGGAGCACTGGGGGCTGGATGCTGGTTCAGAGTCAGTATAGGGAGAGACAGCAGCACCAACCTCGCCCTGAGCTCCTCCTCAGCTCCCTGCTGAGGCTGGTGCGGGAGGGGAGGGCTCCCCAGGGTGGAGAGGTGGACAGACAGAAGAACACCCAGCACCGTCCTGCTCCCCTGGAGTTCTGCACAAGCAGCAAAGTCTTCCCCCCAAAGACCCTTAGGGAATTCTCGATGCCATTTCTCACCCTGGGCCTTTGCCCACAGGGTTCCCTTGGCCTGGAATGCTTCATTCCCTCCCCTGAACCCTTGAAACCCAGCTCAAATGCATGGAAATTTTCAATGTGTACTCACCCCACAACCCTCCACTCCACTGCCAGGAATTTATGTTAAAGAAATAGTTGTGGACGGGCACAGATTAGCCGCAA